CCCCAAAACCCCAAAACCCCAAAACCCCAAAACCCCTTTAAATTAATTAATATTGACATTAAAAAGCAAGATATGGATTCTGAAGAAAGAATTTTAGGATTTGAAGGAAGCGAAGATGAAATTGAGGGAGAAGATGACTCCCCAAACCCTCTGACAGCTGTCAAACAAGAGGTTAACTACCTTTCTTATGATTATTACGGCACTAGAATGGTTACTTGAGGAGCAGACCAGAAACTAAAAATATGGGAAAAGTCAGATAATAAGTAGTATTACCTGTTAAATATAGAAGAGATGATCCAGATATTAGTAATGCTGAAGATAAAAGTCCTGGAGAACATACAAAGTATTTAGATGAATTTGAAAACCTTATCTCACCAAGAATGAAAACTACTCACCAAGCAGAAGGATTTAAGCAAGGGATGTACCTTGCTGAGGAGTGGGAGGCTCATTCAGGACCTATTGTTAAAGTTCAATGGGCACATCCCCAATATGGTCAATTGTTTGCCTCCTGAGCAGATAGTGGGGAGTTATTTATTTGGGAAGAGAAAATTAAAAGAAAGCCAGGAAGCTCACACGAACTTATCAGAGAATGGACTAAAGTAGCATCCTTAGAAGTCACAAAAGATAAAATACAGGATATTAAATTTGGTCCAGAACATGTTGGTTTAAAAATACTAGTACTTTACACAAATGGGAAAATAAATATTTTCCAAGCGAAATAATGTCACTAACCTTCAGAAATGGGAGTTAATCTCTAATCTCGGTAAAAATGTAATGATAAGCTCTAGATTCCATTAATAAGAATGGGTGCAACTCAGTTGATTGGAATCCAAACGAGGAATATGATATGTTTGTAGTTTGCTCAAATGCCAATATCGAAGGGAGTCAATTTGAAGAACTTGAAGAACAAGGTATATGCTATTTAACATATCCAGATCTGAAATCTAAAGATCCATCCTTCAACGTTTCTAAAGAGGAAAAGAAAGAGGTAATTTATTTTTTTAGCATATAGAACAACAGAGACAGTAAAAATAAAATTAGTTAACTCCTCATTATAGCTGAATTTAAAGAGACTTTGAGGCAAATGAAGAATAAAGTCCTCCAATTTTTTAAGTTAGATGACAAAGATTATGAGGAGTTCCTTATGGTACGTAATTTTTATAATTGTCTAGATTGGCAAAGAGATAGACTACCACGATGATGACAAAATAGAATCAGAGAATGAATCAATTGAATGGGACCTAAGTAAAAGCCTTCTGTCTAGCATATTTGATGTCAAATTTGCACCAAGTGTTGGCAGGTCATATACTGTGCTCGCTACATGTGATAGCAGTCTTAATATAAGCTTCTGGAAGCTAGATATGTCTAAATATATTGATGAAAAAGAGAGTAATAATGATCATATAAACTATAGCTTCAAGAAGCCAGATCTCAGGCCTTCAGAAAGCATCAACTCAAATAGGTGAGACCGAGCATAGCTTCCACAAGAACAACGAGCCAGGAGAGAAAGTGCTTTCTCTGATAACTTCAATTTCCCTCAGAAGAGAAGAAGATGAGATACTGGTAAAGCTTGGAATTAATAACTAGAAAACAAAAATCCCTGAGATTTTGGTAAAACAAGAAATGAACCTCTCGTTCAGTAACCAATCTAATGAGGAAATTGAGTTAAAAGCTAGCCAGATATATCTCTGATGGAATATAACAGGTACTCTTCCTCAGAACTTTGTAGGAACCATGCTTGCAATCAGCTTGAACTTTGAGAATGTAAGTGTTTGTTCTTAAACAAAATAGATCAAGGACGGGCACGTAAGTCGATGTATAACTATCTCTCTTAATACTATTTAGGTGCTATGTATCTACGCAGAAAGGTAAGCTCCCTCTAAGCTGGCTTCTAACTTATCTAGACCCAAGATCCAGAATGGAATGAGAAAGTTGCATTATCAATTGGTGTCAACATTTGGATAAGATTTTCAGATAGATTTTGAAAACGGATGTGTTCAATACAACTCTGAGTAAGAGGGGTTTTGGGGTTTTGGGGTTTTGGGGTTTTGGGGTGTTGGGGTTTTGGGG